TGGCACTCATTTAGGTGCCTAAAGAAAGTCTCCTGCAGGGGAACAGGAAATCTGTGAATGCGCCCTGGGAAATCCCGGTTGAATGCCGCGTTCTTTCTGCCCATTCATGAACAGGCGGAACTGTGGGACACGAAGAATAGGTGCTCCGGGGAGTCCTTATGACACATGCGGCCTTTCACTCAACTAGTGCAAGTTTGACAAGGGTAAGATTTTAGAGATGTGCCCTGGCCACTTAGGACAAATTCAGATTCATCAAGACTGGTGAGCTGACCTGCTTTCTGTCTTTACAAAAAATGATAACTTATGAGGAAGGCCTCATCTGGCCATTCCATTTAAGATTGCACATTTAGAAGACACTATCTCTCCATTGCTTTGTAATGTCTTTTGATTGCCACAGCATGTTATCGAATTCCTAAGTTATTTTATTTCATGTTTGTCTTTGGCACTAGAATTAGGAGAAATAAAGACATTATGAGCCCCATGGGTATTGCCATTAAATAGTTTATGAATCAGTAATTAGTCAGATGGGTCATTACACCGATCCTGGGTTATGAAACCCAAGGCCCAAAGCATGAGGGAATCTGGCAATTGTTCATATTTAGGAAACAGTTTAAGAGACCAGTTAAAAAGCAACAACACCAATGAGAGAAAAGAACTGAATGAAAATGCTGACATTTTTCCCCCAGTTGCCAAGAGGAGAATGTTCTGGGTGTGTTTCTCGTTGCTGGGTTGCTTTCAGGGTAATCCTGAGGACCTCTTTATCAAACATAGGATTCCTTGAAATAGCATCTCTGTTGCCTGTGGCCCTAACTGGTCCATTGTCTCTACTTAGGCTCAGTAAAACCACGCAGGTTCACCAAAACAGATGTTGGACTGAATTTGTTCCACACTCAGTTGTTTGGCTACTGGGTCTGTTGGATGCGGATCTGGCATCCTTCACGCAGCACACCTCTTGTGAAAGTTAGCTCTATCATGTAAGCAACCCCAGCTCCAGAGCTAGCAAGTCAGCCTTGAAGCCGGAGTTGGGGAGAAAAATGGCTGCAAGGACACTGTTGTTCCCCTAGCTGGAACTGACCTGCCTCTGCTCGCTTCTCATGCACCACTTCTTTGTGCAAGGAATGTGGGGAATGCAGTCACTTGGAGGATTGCATTTTTATTCCACACAATCAGGGCTTTATTCCCAAGGAAGCAAAGCAAAGTGGATGTCAAGTGGGTGATTAGCAGTCTCTGGCTCAGGTAACAAAATCCGGTCAAAGGGAAGGTCTGAGTGCCCAAGTCAATGTTGAGGTGTATGACTGAATGAACTAGCATCCCAGGGCTGCTGGGTCAGGCATGGGGTGAGCTCTCCATGAAGCAACATGTGGCTGCAGTTAGCAAAGTTGTCCTCTGTTTATGATCTGTGTCTGTGCTATCTATAGGGCTATCACTGTCTGGCACAAGGTTTTAGGGGTTTAGTTAACAAAACTGATTGCAGCCTAGAGACATTTTAAATTTAGTGTATAATAAAGTGAACACATTCCATTTAGTTCCTATATTCATTTCTTGGAAGACTGTTTCATTTATTTGAAAGACCAAGGTTACAGAGAGAGGGAGGGAGAGATAGAGATTACTCATTTTGTGGTTCATCTCCTGCTCCCTAAATGGCCACAATCACTGGGGAAGGGTGAAGCCAAAACCAGGAGCCAAGAGCCAAGAGCTTGCTTAAGTCTCCCACTTGGGTGCAAGAGCCAAAGCATGTAGGGCATCTTTTGCTGCATGTCAACAAGGATCTGGATCAGAACTAGAATATTGGGACTTGAATAGATGCTCATATGGGATGCTTGCACACAGGTGAAAGTTTTACCCGTTACGTTGCAACACCTGCCCCATAGACACAGTTCTAAGTCCGTAATCATACTCCCACCCTACTCTCATTCCTACCAATCCTTCCTTTCTTTTCTTGATTTTAGTCACATACTTTCCATTTATTTTATAATCTTAACCCTCCAGTAAATAAATCTCTCAAAAGTATAGGTAAGTTCTATAAATAATAATTAAATCTCAGAATGTCAACTTGACTCATAAACATGGCTTTTTTTTTGTTTTTTTGTTTTTTTATTCTGCATATTACCTGCCACAAATCAGGGGAAACATTAGCTTTGTCATTTTGAAATTGACTTTTTCATTGATTTTGATAATGATGCCAAATTGCCTCTGTCTTATTATAAAAGATAGGATTTCTTTTCCTTTTTTAATGTCTGAGTAGTATTCTATCATTACATGCATCACCATCTTTTTAAACAATAATCAGGTAATGGATAATGTGGTGACTTCACATCTTATTGTGAGCTCACTGCTATAAACATAGGTTACAGATAACTCACATGCTGATCTCTTATCTTGGGTAAATCTCTTGGAATGGAATGGCTGTGTGTTACAGTAGATCAGCTTTCAGATTCCTCTACTTTCATTTTTCTTAAAATATTACGTTAGCAAAAAGTCATATATCCATGTAGACTTCTGTGTGATGTCATGGCATATGTGGATATTTAACCCTTTGTGGCAAGAATATCACTGGATTCTGGAAGTGGCAAGAGAGCCAGAGTCTGGCTCAAACAAGGACCCATCATCAGTGATTGTATAATGGTTTGGAAAGAACTACTTTCTCCCTGTCCTTGAATCAATGCACTCAACATGTAGAGCTCTGGGAGACAGAGCTCAATGTGCCGACTGAAGCTGAATTATCTGTCTTTGCACAAGAGGGGCCAGGCTACATTGTTGATAGCAAAACTGCTTGTAACTGGAGAGAGGCAGAGTTAGGACAAATTTGAGAGTGCAGGATGAAGTCAGCAGGTGGAAATGGGAGGATGGCATGGAGAAGTGTGCGAAGTGTGTTCTCACTCTTTCTGTTTCCACAAATGCTTGAGAGCGACCCTCAGCAGGAAGAAAAGAGAGTCAGCCATTGGATCCTTTAACACACCGGAACCTTCAGGTTCTGATCATTTGCATCTTTAAACAGTAAACTATAAAGCTGAGAGCAGACATTATGAACAAATGAGACGCAAAAGCTCTGTTTCCAATTGTTTCTCAAGATGAGGAAGACAACACAGCATCAAGCTCTTGATGTTTGTGTGAGGGACGAGTTGGGGTGAGGTTGCAGATAGGTTGTGACCCAAAGTCAAATGAGCTTCGCTTATGTCAATCCTGCTGTGTCAGTCGTGACACTTATCTAAACAAGCCTTCAGTGACATTCTCTCACTCACCAAATAATTCTTCCTAAATACTCCGTGTTTATCTAAAGAGAATCTGCCTGGTTGATTTTTCTGGCACCAAGTTGAAACTCAGTGGCGCTCGCTGCGTTGTGCAGGTGTAGCTGCGGAAAAGGATGAGCTGATTTGCAATCAGGGTACAAACTAAAATCGTGTTCTGTTACTGAGCAAGTCATGCAGACATTGGGAATTGCTTTCACTAGCAAATTTATTGCAATTTGTTAAAAAGAAGAAAGGTAGCATTTATTTTCTTTACTTGATTGTAAGGAAAAATTACTAAGACCCCCTAATTTATTGGCATGAGAGTAGACTAGTATGGTGTGACCTAGCATGATTCCGACCAGTGGCTGGGAATCCGGTAAGCCAGCTAATTGCATATACAGTGGGCTGTTGGATCTATTGAGCTTAATAATCTGACTCTGCATTGATATATAGTCTCAAATTATTAAAGACTGTATTAGCTCAATCTGTTAAAATAGATAGCTTTGCTTTGAAAATGTGAAGTTTCTAAAACAGAATATTAATATATTTATTTTTAAAAAAATAAGTTTATAAACATTTCTTAAAGTTTTATACTTTTTGTTTCTATAATTAAGCACTAGGAAAGCTATACAAAATTTCATTATAAAATAAATGAACAGTTAAAGATAGAATATTGTACTACAAGTTGCGTTGAAAGACATTATTTAGGAATGAAAATACTTGACATTTTAAACATTTTTTAAAAATTATTTTATTTTGGGCCTGGCGTGGTGGCACAATGGTTAAAGGTCCTCGCCTTGCACACCCGGGATCCCATATGGGCGCCGGTTCTGATCCCGGCAGCCCCACTTCCCATCCAGCTCCCTGCCTGTGGCCCAGGAAAGCAGTGGAGGACGGCCCAAAGCTTTAGTACCCTGCACCCGCGTGGAAGACCCAGAGGAGGCTCCTGGCTTCGGATCGGCATAGCATCGGCTGTTGCGCTCACTTGGGGAGTGAATCATCGGACGGAAGATCTTCCTCTCTGTCTCTCCTCTCTGTATATCCGCCTTTCCAATAAAAATAATAATAATAATAAAAATAAATCTTTAAAAATTTATTTTATTTTAATTAGAAACTCAGATATATAAACAGGAAGAGAAACAGAGAGGAAGATCTTCCATCTGCTGATTTATTCCCCAAGCGGTCCCAATGGCCAGAGCTGAACGAATCCAAAGCCAGGAACCCTGAGCCTCTTCCGTGTTTCCCATGTAGGTGCAGGGTCCTAAGGTTTTGGGTCATCCTTGACTGCTTCCCAGGCCACAGCCAGGGAGCTGGATGGGTTCTCGGGCCACTGGAGTTAGAATCAGTATGCATAAGGGATCCCAGTGCATGCAAGGTGAGGACTTTAGCCACTAGGTGATATGCCAGACCATTTTTAAAAGATTTATTTTATTTTCATTAGAAAGTCTGATACACAGAGAGGAGAGACAGAGAGGCAGATCTTCCATCCAATGATTCACTCGCCAAGCTACTGCAACAACCAGAACACTTGACATTATAAAACTCGTTGGTTTTTCCTTCGTGTTGTGATGCTAAGCTTTTGATCATTATGTTACTTTTCTTTTTTCAGAACTTTAACAGGCTGTTGAAACCACGGACACCCACAGCAGCTCCATGTGGACACCTTGAAACTTCTGAGAGATTGGTGTGTTTTCTCACAAGCCTTGCCATGCACAGTCATTGAGTAGAAACTCCTGCCCCTGGAGTGTAAGAGAGCACCCCACCTGCACCATGACAAACCCGGAGAAATGGGCCCATCTCAGCCCGTCGGAATTTTCTCAGCTCCAGAAATACGCTGAGTGTAAGTATTTACCCAGCAAGGTGGTGGCCTCGGGCATTTGGGCTCAGTGAGTATTGTTGTGTCTTAAGAACGGATCTATTCACCATGGGGATGGATACTGTGTGTCTTTTGTGCTCACAAATAGAGCTGCTCTAGGAAACACCTTTCCTGGCATGGGAGAAAGCAAAAGGTAAGCTGAATCAATCATCACATCCACGAGGAAAGACTGCAGGGTTCTGCCTGAAGAACAAAGCTGTGAAAAGACTGCAGTGAAAATGGCAAAGGGAAAGGCTGGCAGAGGAAATCGGGTACCAACTGTGAGTCCTGTTACAGCCCAGGGCCATGACATAGGGCCAGACCTTAAGGTCCTTAGCTTGGGCAAGGTCAATATCCAGAACCCAAAGTGCAGTTTCAATCAAGTGTGTATTCCTTTCCCACTGTGGTACATTTGACAAATTGTGTGTCAAACCATCATCAACTGGGTTACACCACCTATATGCTACAAAGAATGCCTTTTGAGTAAGCGGTCTGTGGAGATGCCCCACACAATGGACAATAAGAAGAGATTACGAAATGTAAAACATGCAACAAATGGAGACCAGGATTATCAAGTGTTCAGTAAATTGATTGCGCAGTAACTCTGTGAGTAGAAAACATTACTAGATTTAAGAGAAGATAAATAGGCAGATTAACTATGAACAAAAGCCAGAGCTCTTTCCCCGGTAGTTACACTCACTGCTCATTTTGGATTGTCAAGACAGAGCATACAGCCCGATCTTCTAGAACAGGTTCTCATAAATTAGGAAAGCTAAAAAATATATCAATAGAATGTACCCTTGACTGATAAATTACCACTGTCACAATGTATCTAGAAACATACTTTGCATTATAGACTATTAAAATAGTATATTTTCTGAGTTGCTTACATAATCACAGGCATTTAAAGATCAGCCTCGTCTCAGAATACAGTGTTGATAAACTGACACCCTCTCCAGCTTGGTTAGAAGATGGAATACTGTATTCACCTTCTTAATCATTTTATCTCTTGTAATAAGAGGGGGGAAATGTTTGATGCAATAGTTGGATTCTGTTTTGGAAGTCTGCATTCCATTCCAAAGTTGTTTCCAGTCCCACCTGTGTTTCTTTTTTAAAAAATATTTATTTTTATTACAAACTCAGATATACAGAGAGGAGGAGAGAGAGAGAGAGGAAGATCTTCTGTCCAATGATTCACTCCCCAAGTGACCGCAACAGCCAGTGCTATGCCGATTCGAAGCCAGGAGCCAGGAATCTCTTCCAGGTCTCCCACACGGGTACAGGGTCCCAAGGCTTTGGGCCATCCTTGACTGTTTTCCCAGGCCACAAGCAGGGAGCTAGATGGGAAGCACATCTGCTGGGATTAGAACCGTCACCCATATGAGATCCTGGTGCGTTCAAGGTGAGGACCTTAACCTCTAGGGCACTGCTCTGGGCCTCCACCCGTGCTTCTAATCCAGCTCCCTGCTCATGAGTCCAAGCATGCAGCTGAAGCACTTAGACACTGCTACCTACATGGAATAACCAGCCAGAATTTGTGACTGTTAGCCTTGCTGTGGCCTCATCCCTGCCGCTGCAGCCATCTGGGGAAATGAAACTACCAATGGGCGATCTATTTCTGTATGTCGGTCTTTTTTATTTCTCTAATTTACAATTAATCAAATTCATAAACAATATGAAATCGAAGGGGCAGGTATGAAGCATAGCAGTTAAAAATGTAATTTGAATTGCCAGCATCCCATTTCAGAGTGCCTAGATTAAACCCCGGGTCCCATCTCTATTGCAGCTCCCAGCCAATATATATTTTGGGAGATAGCAGGTGATAGTTCAGATATTTACACCTCTGCCAGCCTCATGGGAGATGGATTCCCTGGATCCTCCGAACTTCAGCTTGGCTGTTGCGAATATTAGGGAGTGAGTCAATACATAAAACCTCTCTCTCTCTCTCCGATACAGAAAAATTTGGGGAAAAGAAATTGCTGTGTATATATCAAGAAATTTTGAAAAACAAGATTATGATTTGGTATTAAGTTTGTAACATGCTAAGGTTATAAATGATGAATACCGAGTAAGAGGTAAGAATTTTATAGGTTTGGGGTGTGGGAACATGAAATGTAACTGTGCATTCCTTGGGCACAATCAGTGAACCCACAGAACTTGAGCCCCAAGGAAAACATACTGGGTGACAAGTTAGTAGAAAGCAGGAGCAGTCACCACAATTGCACGAATATACCCTGTACCACTGGTTAAATTCCTAACTTCTGGGCAGTTCTTGAAATCAGTGACATCGCCACACTATTTTTCACTAGGCAGCAAACACATCAGGCAGTGTGCATTCAAATCATGGCCCCACCCCACTTGAGATTGTGACTTCGGTGACCAAGTTATTTAGTTCTGGTCTCCTTTTCTATACCTGTGAAACGGAGGAAATAAATATGTCCCATGTTGTCAGCACTAAATCAAATGAACTGCTGTGTACAAGGTAATGAGAACAAGGCCTGGAAATCAGTGATGCAGTAGCTGTTTATTATTATTATTACTGTTATTATTTTTATGTAGAGGGGAAGCAGATGTACTGCGGCTGTCCAAGCCATTGTTGGTGTGGAATATGCAGAGTTCGTGTCTGGTCTTTCCTCTCAAGGCAGAAGCTTCTGATGCTATGAACTCCCATTGTGTGGATGGGATGCTGTTAAGGGGGCGTTTGCTGCTGTGAGATGTGCCCAAGCTCCCATGGAGGGCTTGGAAGACTCTCAAGGATGTGTGGGAGAGGGCTGTCGCTGGCTTCGCCACTCTTCCTGGAAATGCTCCCAAGCTGTGTTATGAGATGGAGAACTTGTCTTACTGCTGTGCTGAGGGTCGAGCTCGTCCCTGCCCTGGTCAGTCAGGATCTGACAGGGCGTCAGTCTGGGGCTCCATGACACAGTGAGGGGTATAAATGTTCTGTGTCTTTCCTCAGAATGATCTCTGTCTATTTCCAGTGATTCATTATCTGCCCACACATGATCACTTAGGAATAGTTTTCATTTTCTTTGCTTTTTTTTTTCTTATTTACCATATGTAAAATGTGTTATAAAGTGTGTAAATCACTTTTGTAAAATTCTGCATTGCCATGGTTGGAACAATTCCAAACTGTCACGAGGTCATATCAGTTGGTGTTGCAGATTGTCCCCGAATCAAGGGTGAATTGTGGTCTTTGCATAAGGAGCAGTGCTCTTGATACCTGGACCTAATATACAATATGACTTTCTCAAAAGAACACGAGCTTTGCAAATGAGCTAAGAGCAAATGATGTTGAACTCTGCCCTTATTTTTTTTTCTGATTATGGCTGATCTTACCTTGAAAGTATTATATAAAATGTTTAAACTTCAGTTTTCTCATCTGAAATAGCAGAAAATGTTGTTGCAGACTTTAACGACACAATCATCATCATTATCATAATCATTGTACTCAGAGTAGATCATCCTCTAAACAACATGTAAGCTTTTTTAAAAAGATTTATTTACATTTCTTGGAAAGACAAATTTACAGAGAGGAGGGAGAGACAGAGAGGAAGATATTCCAACCGATAATTCACTCTCCAAGTTGCCACAAAGGCTGGAGCTGAGCTGATCTGAAGCCAGGAGCCCTGAGCCTCTTCAGGGTCTCCTATGCGGGTGCAGGGTCCCAAGATTTTGGGCCATGTTCTACTGCTTTCCCAGGCCACAAGCAGGGAGCTGGATGTGAAGTGATACAGCAGGAACATGAACTGGGACTTAATATAGGATCCTGGCGGGTGCAAGACAAGGGTTTAGCCACTAGGGGATCATGCGAGGCTAAACATATAGGTCTTAAACTTCTCAAACCTTTGAAGTAAGCAGGCAAGGGGGTGAATTTTTCCCCCAAAATTAAGTATTTTTGGAAGATAAACTTGTAGATGGCCAGGGTGAGAGTAGTGATAAGACAGATCAAATCAAATCACCCTGTGCTTCTTATGAAGGTTGGTAAATAAATAAACAGGTTGTTGATAACATTGCCAAAACAGGAAACGCTAGATTCCTGCATTAAGATCCTTGTACCTCCACTGACCACCATCATCCACTAAATGGTTTTTGTTCATAGGACAATTCAGAAGCACAGGTATGTTTCAGGTGTCTCACCATGGCAACCGGGCTAGGCCACATGTGAACGGCAGTGCCACTCCACCCAGAAGAGATGCTCTTCAACCTACTGTACTCATCTGCTCAACCTAGAGACTCATTTGTTGTTCTTCTGCTGATCACATGGGAGAGGAAGGAGGCCCACAGAGAACATCAGGAAGTGGCTGTCGTGAAACATGATCCAATCCCCTTCCCATCTGGAAACTTTCTGACACATTGATCTCGGTGTGTCTTGGAGATAGTGTGTGTGTGTGTGTGTGTGTGTGTGTGTGTGTGTGTGTGTGTGTGTGTGTCTGTGTCTGTGTGTGTGTCTGTGTGTGTGTCTGTGTGTGTGTACGCACATGTCCTTGATCCCTACAGGATGAGATGAGGAGAAGGATCTCTTGGCTCCGGGCGTGTGTATAGTTCATGTACTGCTAAGTAGATTGTGGTCTGTGCCACCCCTTTAACAATTTGTGATGTTGACTCTGTCTTCCGCTGGAATGGCTCCAATGCAGGGTGCTGAGCCTACACACTGCTCAATGTTCTCTTTGTGCACAGTGGGGCCATTTAGTTTAATGTCTAGAAGCACGCAACTTGAGCGCAGGTAAAGCAGAGTTCAAGTTCCAGTGCGGGGTGGTGTGCACCTCATTGTGTACATAGGATTGTGTCGATTGAAATGATGATTGCACATGAAAAACAGTTTAATATCAAGTAAGGATTGTTTTCTTTGATGTAGACATCTTGAGTCTCCTACTGATCCAAAAGGTCTTGCCATGGATGACATACCTTGACTTTTCCCTGACCCTGGGTCTGAACTTTGGACATTCAACTCTATTTTAGGATAATGCGTCTGTCATTTCTGACCC